TCTTTATAACGAAAGAAACTGCAAATTAAGTTGGCGAGTTTTTATTTAACAATCCAGAGATCGTACCCGAAGGATCTAGAAAATAATCGAGGTTGATTTAGTAAAATCGTAACAATATATACATATATAATATTGTTGCGAAAACGCGAGGCGAATGTAAGATGAAAGAGAGAAGCCGATAACTAGTACATTATAAACGAGAACCTTCGATAGCGAACAACTCGATGCTTCTACGCTTTCGTCTGCGAGCAGCCGACTGCTATATAAGGGCGACACTCAGCGGCCAAGAAAGTTTGTTACTAAGTGAACTCGTTGGCGTTAACATCAGTAAAGTCGTAAAGTAAACACGTTGGAGATTACATTTAAGTAGAGTAAATTGTGAAAGTTGATGATAGTGATTGTAAATAGTAAAGTCCATTGTAATTGAATGGTGAATTACTTAGTAAATAAAGGACATTAAATAAATTCTTTGTAACAAAAGAAACTGCAAATTAAGTTGGCGAGTTTTATTTAACAATCCAGAGATCGCACTCGAAGGATTCAGAAAATCATCGAGGTTGATTTAGCAAAATCGTAACAATATATTATAAATATTATTATGCTTCCAATTATGTCAAAATGGCAGTTGGTATGCAATCCCAGACTGCCTGTGGAGATGTGGTGTTACATGCTCATACAAACAGTATGTCAATTAAATGTTTGCAAAATGAAAAAATCACAAAAATCTCTTTTCACATATTATTTTATAACTGAAAGTATTTTTATTTTTACTTATTAATTGGTATTGTTAATCTAAGTATTCTTAACAAATATCACTCACAAAAATAATAAACATTTAAACCGAACGTTAAAAAAAAATAAAAAACTTAAAATTCGCAAATATAACGTTGTCAATTAATTCTTTGCAAAATGCCCACACAATTCAGAATAAAACGTAGATAACTGAACGGTACCACAAATTTGAAAACGAGTGAGGAATAAGCAGAAATGTTAGCTTAGAAGGATTTATAATATTTATTTTAAAAGAAAAGAGGATGGAGTTAAAGCACTTTGGTGAGCTTTCTGTAATGGGGTACGGCTGTAGTTAGTCGAAAGTTTGTGTGCATTATTTATGTTAATATTACTCAGACTAATATTATTTAAAAAAAGGAAAATAAAATTTTTTAAGTTAGTAAAAATCGCGTTGAAAAATGAATTTGTTTGATTTTTATCATTTTGCAAATAATTCATTGTATAATATATGCAGCTATAAATTTTTTCAAACAATTTTACTTTTCCCTGAGGTTAAACTATTCAGCTATGTTTAAAATTACGAGGTGAACGTACGCTTGTTTTTGATAACTTGGACATTTTATTTGATTTGGCCGATTTTATTCAGTAAATGGAAATACACATATAAAAGAATGATGAAAATTAACCGTATGCTCTCCACACATCTTTCGAAATAACTCAATAGTATAACAAAAAACACAGCTTACTAAGATTCGTACTTTCGCTTTGCTGATAGAGTCGGAAATGGTTATGCAACGCGGACAAGTTTTATCTTCAATCGACTTTCTTCCTTATTGACATATACACCTGTAACCAATGTTGTGGTTGTAGTAGCGGCTACGTTAACCCCGCTTAAGGACAGGTTTAAAATCAATCTAAGTTGCCGAGAGAGGGGTTAGTTAGTGTCCGCATGCTAGACATACGTTGGGTATGTTGGGGTTGAGTCAGGATAGGCAGGAGGTAGGAGTTTAACCTGCTACAATATCCAGGCCTAAGCTGTGCCAGTTTTCCGCTGGTCTCTCGAGGCAGCTCAAGCTCGTTATCTGCGATGGGTGGTGGTTTAACTCCGAGTACGCCATTCACGGGAAGGGAGTATTTGAAGGTATTGACTGTTTCCTGGTGAATGGCGTTCAGTGCTTGTCTGTATGCTGTCCTGTCCAGCGGTTGTTGCACGTGTTGCTGGATTGTGTCCTTTAAGTCTAGTACTCCCTTCCTGATGTGTCTAGGTTGAGGCTCAGCTTCTATTAGGTGCTGGGGTGCACCCTACGGTAGCATCTCCCACAACAACTCCGACATCAAATTTGCGATTCTTTATATGACCGCTGTTGAATATGTCATAAATACCTACTCGACTACGTCCATGTCTACTCAATTACAATTCTCGGACGGGAGTGATGTTAACCTTTAGTTTTACCAGGAAATTAACCAGCTGGGTGGCGGCACCTTCCAGTTAAGGGACCAGGTATTCCAGATGTCCCCCCACTTAAAGCATAGTTCTTAGAACGTTTGCAGGAGTCAATCATAAGTGAGGTATCTCATCCAAGGCGTTGTTAATTTTTTCATTGCAGCTAATATAGTCTTGGCACTGTAACTGCGTAAACAAAAGCATGACTGCAACGAACTGTTCTCCCTATCAGCTAAATCAGTTCGAAAAAAAAATTGCCTTGAAAAATCGAATGTGGCTTGCAAGACATGGCTGAGTACTCTATACCACTACTTAACTAAATGAATGTCGATTTACCGCATAAATATTTTTTTTTTCTCATTATTAAATCATCGACTAAAACTTTTGTATCTTCTTTGAAAATGTAGTAGAATTATACGAGCAAAATGTAAACAAAATACCTCCGCCTCGTAATTAATGTTGTATGTGCAAGGAAAAACTCAATTGTTTACATATTTTGTTAAATAAAACAAAAAAAATACTTCTTTCAGAGTGTGCTAGTATGTATATTGACTACCATAATATGAATAACTAAGAATCTCCTAAAATAATGTTTGTGTTTTTCAAAGACGTCTTAACTGACACAAGGAAGACCATAATATTACAAACACTTAATACCAAAAACTGTTTTGCAACGAAAAATATACATATGACTGAGTTAGTGCGTGGTGAAGCTTCTGAATCGGATGAGGAAACCCCGTCAAGAGTAATTAACCAAATATACATACATATATTTATTTATTTTTTTGCAATATGTAAACATTTCTATGATTTCCAGCGAACAAAAATATTCGCTTCTGAAATTCCAGGAGAAGCCACCGAGTCTGACGAAGGTATAATATGAATGGAAATTAATTTTTTAATAATACCTTAAAATCTTACAGATTTGTACGAGAAGCAAATGCCAAGATTATTAAGCAAACAACAAATTACAGAATCAAGATATAAAAATAATCTCTTACAAAGAAAATTAAGTAAGTTTTGATGTTATATGTCTTATGACTTCTTATATTTTTAAGTCTTATTTCCAGTCGAAAATAATGTTGCGATCTATAAATCAATGTCCGCATTTGTGAAAAATTTCATAACATCTTCGTCCAAGCAACTATTAAATACGGATCAACAACTTATGAAATCGCAGGTAATTGGTGTGACGACTTACTCTTATTAGTTTTGAATTAAAATGTTTGTTCGTAGTCAAAGCATGTTCTCTTTTTTTGGTGTTCATACAATCGAAATCAAGTACCTATTTTTTAAATTTAGCAACATACCGAACTGATATAATGTGTGTTGAAATACAAGACAGTTCATACAAAGGAACGTCATAATGTCGTTGCTCTCAGGGAAACTAAATTTCGGACGTTTTAGTCCTTCATAAAAATCGTTTTAACTTGTTGTCTTGGTTATTTTCTTTGTGTCAGTATGCATTTGTTTGAAAATCAATATTTATTAGGATAATCGACAAAACAAGACACTAATAAAACTTTTACATTTATTTAGATGTTGCGTACAAGCCGTACGCATTTCTTTTACTTTTGCACCCAAATTATTTCCTTAACCTTGTAATTTTAACGTACATTACTCGAAATCGAATTCACTGCTTTGTAACTATGGGTGGGTTCCAAAACGTTGAAATACTTTGTAATGATGCCGTTTCGAAACCGTTTTACAATGCAACCGCATTTAGGAATGTGTAACAATGTATGATTGCTTTCCAACTAACGTTTTGGAACTCACCCCTTGCCTTGTACGCATTATTCAAATGGTTTTTTCAGTTCTTAAAAAAATATTTTATTTTCAGGTAACAATGCAGTCAGCTTTATGTTCTTTAAAGAGCTCCCAAGAGAATATGAAGCAACTACATGAAAAGAATAAATATATTTTTACAACAAACTTTCTTCCGAATATTAATCTATGATTTTATATAAAAATAAATAAATAACAAAAACATAGAAAAACAGAATTCGAACTTGTATTATTCGGTATCTGAATCAAGAGCAAAAATTTGGCCATGCGTTGAAGGTTCCGATGGTACATAGGTAGCCTGAAAACATCGAGAAAATATAGTACGTAAGTTCGCCCTTTCTTGACGCTTGGGAGACTCGGGAACACAATCCTCATCACCACTGCTTGAAATTTCAGTCACTCCCTCCTCAGCACTAGTTAGTGCAAGTGTTTGTTTTCTAGGATTAGTATGAATTCTGTTAGATTCTTCACATACTGCAGGCAGTAAGAGAATACTGTTATCGGATATAGACTCCGTCATTAACGATGGGTTTTGATTACGAGGCGCAGCAATTGACAATGAAGAGCTGCGTTTATTACTATTTTTCTCAAATTGAAATAATGATGAACTATTACTTAAAGTCGTATCTTCTGTAATACATTTTTGTTTCGTATCTCTTCTAAAGCTTTTAGATTTGTCATTAGTTCTTGTTGAATTTAATTTTCTCTTTTGACATAATTTCGACGTGCTAGTTTCTTGGACATCGCTTTCTTGGCAGTCATCATAAAAACTGACTTCATCCGATGACAGCGTAGACATAATTAGAAGACAATGAATTTCATCTCTGTGTGATATCCCAACAAAAACAGGACTACATAAAAAAACGTTATTTATTATAGATCATTATAACAATAAATTAACTCACCTTCCAGCCATGTCGAATTGCAAGCATACACTTTCGTTCAGTGCCTCAGCAAACATGAGTAACGCTCTAAACTCCTTTAAGCAAAATGTAATGGATGTTTGTTTTTCTATGTTGTACTTATCGAACTCATCAGCACTATAAATAACTAAGTGTCACTAATTCAATATAAAAAAAAATCAATCATTTAGGACTTATATTTACTTTAGTTGCAGTTGAGAGCGCATAAATTTTTCGTTTACTCTAGAACCCTCGACATAGTTTTTTACATTTATCTTTTTATCTTGCGCTTCAAGAGTGATTTCTTCCTCCGCAGGATTAAAATTATTAGATATTTCAGTAAATATCTTATGTGATCCACAAATTCTAAGAGGAGAAAAAAATTAATAAATGAACATTTATATATGATCATTAACTTACGTATTGCAGTTGTTTTCTGGTGTCATTTCAGCAGTTATATTCTCTTCGTCATCGACTGATATGCATGTATTCTTCAAAGTTTCATGCTGACATTTGAGTTGTATTTGAAACTTTTCTTGATCTTGTATAAATGTCATATCACAACGCTCTACCTAATGTAAAAAAGTTATAATTAATATATCTGTGATTTTATCTTTAACGACCATTATCTTAATAACCATTATTAAATGTGCATACAACTCAAAAACGTTACTTTCCATTATTATATGGAATTAGTTCCTTTCAGAAAAAAAATTTTGTGCCATGATACGAAACAAAAATTACGTTTTCTCATTTTGAACCTTGAAATTAATTTTTCTCGCAACCTATTTTCGAAAAACGTTCTTTTTGTTTCTATCATTTATATGAATAGCGGAGTGTTGCGGAGTTTTAAATTATTTTTAATTATTTTTAATTATGAATCCGAATTGTGCCAGTTTGATTGTGGCTAATTTGATATATTATTCATACCTGCTTCGTGTTCCGAAATACAGTAAGGCATGCCCGCATGTCTATTTTACAATAAGTTTCCTCATTTTGATTGGTTTCGTAATAATCGAAGAATGACTTATTGAATCGGTATGTTCCAACAGCAGATTTTGTAGGATTCAATGTACGCAACTGCATCCCGTCAACATCAGCTTCAACAAATAAGTCTCCACCGAATTTGGAAAGAGATTGTACCGCCTTCGCGAAGACTGTGAATAAAACTCATGGTGATATCAAAAATATTATAATTAAATTAAAAACCTTTTGTATTTCCTCCATCTAAAGTGCATTTCATTTGTAAATAAAATATTCCAAACGCCTAGCCTACGAATTTTATATAAACAAAAGTATTTTCAACATCTAAATACTCGATACTTTCTTCCATACCGAGTCGCCGCTTTTTTGTTATCGAACTGTGAATAATGAAATAAGAACGACCCCAAAAATGCCGCGACACGACACTTGATGGTCCGAGCTTACACTCGACGAAACACTCGTTTGTTGGGAAGGGGGCGACGACGAAGTCGACAGTGCACCGTGTCGCTGAGCTCGTTCGACACGCTTTGTGTTTCTATTCGTATCTGTAGATTTTGGCATTCTCTTTTATTTTGTTTTTCACTTTGCACTGATTGTGGCTGTCTTAAATTTCAAACGAATAAATGTTGTAAGCTTGGAAATTGAAATTTGGTCTTTCACTTTGATATTTATATGTGCATGCAAACATATTTGCCGGTGCGTATATGTATCTAATTACTAATTTTTCAGATAATGGAGTTTGCGGATAAAGTTAATTAATGCAAGAAATATTAGAACGGATTGAAAAGACTAGAGTTGATGTTTAATCAAATGAAAAAATATATAAAAAAGTAGATAAATAAAAGCCCCGCCTTCCTTTTCACAAACATTGTGTTTTTTTTTATTTTAGAAATATTAAAATACTCGGATTGAACGAAGAGATGCGAGTGTAAAATAAAGGAAAATAGGGAAAAAAATGAAAAAGAAACAAATGTCAACAAATTGCTTGAACAAAGTGTCTCTGTGTGAATGTGAAGGGTGACACAAACAAGAAATTGCAATATTAAGCGACAAAAGTATCCTCAAGTAGGCACCGACATAGGAATCAATTTTTTACTCAGAAATTATCTCACTTCAGTTTCTTATTATATTCCTTGTGAAAATTGTCATTAAAATAAAGATGATTGTCAAAATGTATAACTACGAGTACTGATATTCTCTCTAGATTTTCTAGATATGATAGACAAAAATCTATGTCTTTATTTAACGGCTATATAGCTCTGCAAATAGTTCCCTACGGTAGTTGATACTGCTGGAAAAGGTTTGGTGTCGGAAAAAGGAGCTGAGAGATATACATGAATCTGTTGGAAAGCGTACTTAGGTTGTGAGTGTTTGCGTAAATACAGGATATTGCGAGGCTACACCATCCAAGGGGTATCAGGAAGAAGATCTGGTATTGTTTTCTTATCTTAAACGCGATAAACGATTGTCTTGGTTTAATGTATCCAGACCAAATGAAAGTGGTCCACTAGGAGAAATTTGATCGAGACGATCAGACTTAGGCAGTGGACAGGAAATAATACAAGAAAAATTACAGCTGGTATTGGAAGTCGTATTGTTAAATAAATTCCAAAGGGTCCAGATTCAAGACTATCTCTCAAAAGGAAAAGGGAAATGTCAAATAAAGGATTATTTACAAACAGAAGTAAGCCACAATGATGGCTGCAAGAAACCATCTATGTAAGATGCAGAGAAAAAAGGGGCTGAAAAATCTGCAAAAGATTTAGAGCCAAAATCAACTGAAATTGAGGAAAAGGCTCCTAGCTCATCTATTGGTGGGGTTATGAATCTGCTATTGGCTGCATTTCTCTAAGATGGATGCAGGTATATCTGAGATGTCATCACAGATGTCATTGCAAATTTCATTTCAGCAACATTTAATCACAACTCATACAGTTTCTAGAGAGTTCGATGAGGGGCTCAATCATATTGAACCTATGGGGAATGCCTTGGAGAATACCTAGAGAGGGTAAAAATCCAGAGGTTTGTCAGCGGAAGGAGGACACGTACATTAAGGGAGAGACGTATGTTAATCCAATCTCAGCCATAGGGAACGGATGTTGAGAGCGTACTCAGATTTTGAGCGACAGCGTCTGGTTTGCCCAATCCTTAAGGAGGAAAAGATTGACTTAAAGACAACCCTCCAAAAGTTCGCACGACAGTCGGGAATTTATACCGGAACGCCCCGTTTTTTTTATTCTGTCAAGGACAGTCCCTCCCGCAACAACAACAACAACAACGACATTTACTCTAAGATGGCAAAGGTATTTGAAAGGTTCTTACTAAGTTATGAGAAAGATGGCAGACCTAGAAGAAATTGGTCCATTTGAAGAGACTCGCAGCATTTGATAAAAGTTTGTCTGATCGGGTCAGTTAATCATGAGTTTGTAGGTGAATAAAATGTGAGATAATAGTAGTGTGAAACAAAGCAATTGAAATAAATAAAATAAATGCAAGTTAATTATTTTTCTTACAATTAAGAATTTGGAAAACAAATCTCGGAACTCTATCTAACAGCCCAGTGATCGAACTCAAAAGATTTTAAAAACGTCGTTGAGTATTTTGGCGAAAATCGTATCAGTATCAGAGTATTTTAGCGAAAATCGTATCAGTGTAAATTATTAAAAATTTTATAGTGTGGCAGGGCTTTGTAATGCCACATCAGTTTTCCAAATGTCAATTAAAATAGAAGTCCCGGCAGTAATTTAGAATAAATAATTTTTAGCATTAAAGCACATACGATAAAATAGAGATAGTTTTGTACTTTAAAATATACATTTCAATTATTTGGGAAATTATGAAGTGAATCCTGAAAAAGTTTAGAAAAAATGCCGTTACAAATTGTCTGCCGGGTATTGGCCCTAGTGTTTCTTGTTTCTGCATCATTTAAAGAAAGCGGTGCCTCGTCTGCTCCTTCCCAAAGTTATGCTGTTACAACACTTATTAATGCTAAATGGCAACAAACCCCTCTATATTGGGAAATTGCAGAATATTTAGCAGACGAAAATCCTGCTCTTTTTTGGGATTACGTGAACGATATACTAAGCGAACAAAAGTCTATTAAGGAATACGGTAAATAATGCTATAACATTAGTTAAAATCATCAATCATTCTTTTCTTCGTTTCTTTTAGCTTCAGAATCAAATCAGTATTTAGCGGCCATCAATGTAGTTCGGAATCGTCTTACTTCACTTCAGCTCCCATTACTTAAATTAGTAGTGTCACTGCATAGTCTCACTCCACGAATTCAGACGCATTTACAAATATCTAACGATATTTATAACAAATCCCAATGTGACGTTGAAACGTTCGTTCAGATTGGAAGTGATGTTATTTGCACTATCGACGAATTAGAAAAGAAGCTAAATTCGAAAACTGATGTTCACGAAGAGGTTGTTACATACAGTTTTGATCACATTTTTCCAGGGTCAAAGAACGATTCACAAACAGTTGTTCTTTACGGTGATTTTGCAACAGATACTTTTTCGGCATATCATAAATTATTATCCAATGAAGCACTTTCTGGAAATATTCGTTACATTACAAGGCATTTTATTCCATCGCTTACTAATCGGAAGACCGTCCGGCTTTCTGGCTATGGGGTTGAACTTCATCTTAAATCCACAGAATATAAAAGTCAGGATGATGCACCAAAGACAAATGATGATATTGTAAAGGACAATACCACCGAAGATTTCGAGGTTAAAGGTTTTGATTTTAAAATACTCAAATCCCGCTTCCCAAGTTTGTCCCACTCACTGGATCAATTTTGGTACAATCTCTTAAAGGGTAACGAGGAAATTACACAGTTAAAAGCATGGGAATTTCAAGATCTTGGATTGCAAGCAGCAGCTGCTATATCCGAGGTACAAGGCGACGAAGCTTTACAGATTTTACAATTTATCGCTCATAATTTCCCTATGCAAGCACATACTCTCCTTCACCATAAAGTGTCAGATGCATTGCGCTCTGAAATTAAACACAATATTGATGTGTTTGGACGTAGTTTAAACATCATTCCACCTGATGGTGCGCTCTTCATTAATGGATTATTTTTTGATGCTGATACAATGGATCTCGGTGCCATTGTTGAAACAGTACGTTCTGAAGTTCATGTCATTGAGAGTCTACACAAAAATAATATTCGAGGTAGCCTAGCAACTGCACTACTCGCCTTAGATCTCTCTGGAGCTTCTGGTAAAGAATTTGCAATTGATATTAGGGATACGGCAATAATGTGGATAAATGATATAGAAGCTGATGCTCAATACCGCCGTTGGCCGTCAAGTGTAATGGATTTATTGAGACCCGCCTTTCCTGGAATGTTACGCAATATACGGAAAAATATTTTCAATCTAGTTTTGGTGGTTGATCCACTAAAACCAGCTAGCCGTAATCTCATAAAACTAGCAGAGAGCTTTGTTATTCACCAAGCACCTGTAAGGCTAGGCCTAGTATTTGATATTCGCAGTGCGAATAAAGATTCTTTAAAAGATTACCACTCCCTTATTTGTGCCTATAATTACGTAACCCAAAATAAGGATGGTCGATCAGCGTTAAGCTTTTTAACAGATGTGTTTGCTGCCGCAGATGCTGCTGAAAATGTGCGCCACCAACATATAAAGAGTCAACTAAAAAAGGCCTTTAGTAACTTATCTGGAAGCAAAATTGATGATATTCTAGATGAAGATTCTGACTATGATTATGGCAAGCAATTGGCACAAGAATTTATTGAACGTTTGGGTTTTGCGAGTTCTCCTCAAGCATTGCTTAATGGTGTACCAATGCAACAAAGTATTTTAAGCTCTGATAGTGAATTCGAAGAAGCAATATTTTCAGAAATCATTCAACAAACCAGCACTTTCCAAAAATCAGTATATAAAGGTGATTTGACAGATTCAGATACAGTTATTGACTACCTTATGAATCAAGATCATGTTATGCCACGATTAAATCAACGTATTCTTAATGCCGATGCCACAAAATTCTTGGATTTCACTGGAAATGAATACAAAGATTTACCCAATGTACGGGATCTCATTCAGCTTTCAAATCGAGATATGACTGCAGTTTTATTAGGCAATATAAAATATTTTGGTGGCAAACATGCAACCGAACGCATTGGTAATGCTAAATTAAATTTTTTAACTATTTGGGTTGTTGCTGACGTTGAACAGCCAGAAGGTCGTGAGCTCCTAGCAAATGCTCTTCGCTATCTTAAAAGTGGTAGCAGTGTTCGCGTAGGGTTTATACCTAATATTGAAGGTTTATCAGTTTCCAACAAACTTAACTTAAATCGATTAGTGTGGGCAGCTTCCCAAGCTCTTCCGCCTGTAGAAGCTACTGATTTGGTATTGAAATGGCTTAAAAATCCAGATAAGATAAACGAAGTGCCAGATTCTTTCAACGATATTCTGACCTCAACTGAATTACATATAAAAATGCTAAGAGTTTATGCACAACGCGTGTTGGGATTGCCGAAGGAAGGGCGTTTAGTTATTGGAAACGGTAAAATTTTCGGTCCGTTGTCTACGGGTGAACAATTTACTATTGAAGATTTTGGATTAATTGATCGATTTAATGCATTCCAATATGGTGACAAAATCCGAAAAGTTCTTCAACAAAATAGCGACAGTGATGAAGATACCTCTGCTGATTCTGCGATAACTAGCGATACTTTGCTTAAATTGTATGCAAGCCTTGTACCTAGGCAATCTAAGACTCGTTTTAAGATACCAGATGATATAAAGAAACACAATTCTGTTGTTACTTTGGCTCCTAAAATGCCATCCATGCCACATTTTGATATTTCTGCGGTCGTCGATCCAGCGTCGCGAAGTGCTCAAAAACTGGCTCCTATTCTAATTTTATTGCGCAACATTCTTAATTGCAAAATGCATATATACTTAACGCCAGTTGGGCAACATAGTGATATGCCTGTAAAAAACTTTTATCGATATGTTCTTGAGCCTGAAGTACAATTTGAATCTAATGGAAAATTAGCAGAAGGACCGCAGGCAAAATTTACTGGCTTACCTGTAAATTCGTTACTTACTCAAAATCTTCAAGTCCCCGAAAATTGGCTTGTTGAGGCGGTCCACTCTGTATATGACTTAGATAATATCAAATTAAGCGACATCGGTGGCCCTGTTCATAGTGAATATGAACTGGAATATCTACTACTTGAAGGGCACTGTTTTGACTCCAATTCAGGAGCCCCTCCACGCGGATTACAAGTGACTTTGGGAACACAAAAATCTCCAGCAATTGTTGATACGATAGTCATGGCGAACCTTGGTTATTTCCAACTCAAAGCAAACCCAGGTGTGTGGGAGCTCCGCCTACGTGAAGGAAAATCTACAGATATATATGATATTACTAATGCCGAAGGTCCTAACACAATACATCAAAATCACTTGACAAAAGTGGTAATTAGCTCATTGCGTTCGCACGTGATCAAGTTACGAGTCACAAAAAAACCCGGTAAACAGAATGCAGACTTGCTAGGCGATGACGAAGAAGATTCAACATCTGGTCTTTGGAACTCCATTGCTAACTCCTTTGGAGGTGGTTCCGCAGCTTCTGCGCCTGGAAACGTTGGAGACGAGGATTCGCAAACTATAAACATTTTTTCATTGGCTTCAGGACATTTATATGAACGACTTATGCGTATTATGATGTTGTCAGTCTTGAAACATACAAAATCACCCGTTAAGTTTTGGTTCCTTAAAAATTACTTGTCACCACAATTTACTGATTTCCTTCCGCATATGGCTCGAGAATACGGTTTCCAGTATGAGCTTGTACAATACAAATGGCCACGATGGCTACATCAGCAAACAGAGAAACAGCGTACGATTTGGGGATATAAGATTCTCTTCCTAGATGTGTTATTCCCACTTAATGTTCGTAAGATAATTTTTGTGGATGCCGATGCCATTGTGCGAACTGATATTAAGGAATTGTATGATATGGATTTAGGTGGCGCACCATACGCCTACACACCTTTCTGCGATTCTCGTAAAGAAATGGAAGGATTCCGTTTCTGGAAGCAAGGTTATTGGCGGAGTCATCTTATGGGCAGACGGTACCATATATCTGCATTATATGTTGTAGATCTTAAGAGATTCCGAAAAATCGCCGCTGGTGATCGTTTGCGTGGCCAGTATCAAGCATTAAGTCAGGATCCCAACAGTTTGGCTAATTTAGACCAAGACTTGCCAAACAATATGATTCATCAGGTGGCCATAAAGTCATTACCAGATGAATGGTTGTGGTGTCAAACGTGGTGTAATGACAACTCTTTTAAAAAAGCTAAAGTAATTGATTTGTGTAATAATCCGATGACGAAAGAAGCTAAGTTAACAGCTGCCCAACGTATCGTCCCAGAGTGGAAGGATTACGATCAAGAAATTAAAAATTTAATGATAAAAATCGAGGATCATGAAAATATCGACCATCATCCAGTCATCGCAACGAATGAACACGATGAAAACCTCAAACATGAAGAATTATAATTACCATTCCCGTTTTGTGTTGTATTTAATTGAAATACATTATGTGAACTATTGATCCAAATAAGTTTTTTTATACACCTTTACCTCGTTTAGTGTAAATTTATCGAAAATGAGAATATTCAAAATAAAAGTGGTGATAAATTAAGAATAAAATTAGAATTTAATAAGAATTGATATAAAATAATAGCATTATTATACATTTTTTTTACCTAATGCCATACAGCAATATATTTACGAAGATTTTTTTTTTATTAATGGAAGTCAGTTTTAAGTAAAATACTTTTGAAGGGTTCCCTGTTCGTACATCTTTTTAACATCAGTGCCTCCTCCAATGAATTTTCCATCAATAAAGCATCTTGGTACCTAAAAGAAGTCTTAATTTTAGAAAATAATATTACTGGATGCAAGTAGAAATTCAAAAACATATTTTCCTTTAGTTACAACTGCCGTTTGATTGAGATCTGTTAAACACATGCTCACTTTTACCTGTCTGCAAACAAGTTTACCTTCCGCATAATAGTTGCGTTTAGGTAATACTTTATATCCATCTATGTGATAACACATACATATTGTTGCGAAAATGCGAGGCGAATGTCAGATGAAAGAGAGAAGCCGATAACTAGTACGTTCTAGAAACGATAAAACAAGAACCTTCCATAGCGAACAATTCGATGCTTCTACGCTTTCGTCTGCGAGCAGCCGACTGCTATATAAAGGCGACACTCAGCTGCAAGTCAAGCAGTGACAAAGCAAATTGGTTGGCGTTAACATCAGTGAAGACGTAAAGTGAACGCGTTGGGAATTACATTTAAGTAGAGGAAATTGTGAAAGTTGATGTTAGTGATTATAAATAGTAAAGTGCAGTATAATTGAATTGTGAATTACTGAGAAAATAAAGGACATTAGATAGAATCTTTATAACGAAAGAAACTGCAAATTAAGTTGGCGAGTTTTTATTTAACAATCCAGAGATCGTACCCGAAGGATCTAGAAAATAATCGAGGTTGATTCAGTAAAATCGTAACAATATCAATGGTATTTCACAAACGCAAATCGATTATTATTGTACAGGTATCGCCGATCTAAAAATGTCTGTTCTGCTTTCGAATGAATTTCTAAGCTTTATTTTAATTTAATCATGATGGGTGAGTAATGAAAAATATTTTTTCCAAGAACGATGAATCCCGGAAAATATCGTTACGAAATCTTTACCATTTAGTTTAAAGCTTAGTTAAAACAAAATAAATTAGTTGCTAATACCACCTATAAAGTATGTTTAATGCGTAAACATAGTAGCTTTCTTTTCTTCGTATGTCAAATCGATATTTTACAACATTTGTGTATTTTTTCGTTAATTTTCACGCTAAGATAAATTTCGATACAATTTTTTTATGATCCAAATGTTAGAAGACAATATTCTACTTTTTATAATTAATTTTCAAACTAAGCTGTTTCACATTCTCCTTGTACGTACTGATAAATTATTGAACAACTGTATTACACTCTTGTATTATTCATATATGATTTGGAGTCAAGGTATATCAGTAGTACATATAAGTATGTATGATTTGGAGTCAAGGTATATCAGTAGTACATACATACTAATATGTATTACATTTATATTGTCATTGAAGTTAACTTGACTTTCAGTGACCTTGTACTATTGTTTAGATAATGTTAGTCATTTAAAGAAAAAGTGGCTTACGGTTCTACCGCCTGTTAACTCCCCAAGTATATTTTGGATTTCGTCAGCATCATTACGGCCATCTAGCTCAACTACATGTGCGGCCACGGAAAGCTTGCGAAATTGCTACAACAAGAGTCTAATTACAAATATTGCTTGCCATTTATATTTTACTAACCTCTTTTGCCATTGTACAATAAGGACAGTAGCTCTTAGAGAAGATAACAACTTTATTATTAGCTATAATCTCTCGAATCATATCTGCCTGTGGGCTGCTCATGTTCACACTTATTGGAGGTTTTCTTGGTAAAGCAGAAATGACTGACCCCATACATCAGCTGTTATATACACGTAGTTTGCTTGGAAAATATTTTGGTGAAACTACAATAATTCCTTCCAGTAATAACAAAAAAATTTATTGGAATATTTTCATACAGCTGTGACAATATCGATGCTGCCATACCAAGATACCATGCAGCCATTTATGAAAAATAAATATTGTTACGATTTTGCTAAATCAACATCGATGATTTTCTGAATCCTTCGTGTACGATCTCTGGATTGTTAAATAAAAACTCGCCAACTTAATTTGCAGTTTCTTTCGTAACAAAGAATTTATCTAATGTCCTTTATTTACTCAGTAATTCACAATTCAACTACGATGCATTTACTAGCTACAATCACTTGCATAAACTTTCATAATTAACTCTACTTAAATGTAATCCCCAACGCGTCTACTTTACGACTTTACTGATGTCAACACCAACCAGTTCACTTTCATCACTGACTTCTTGGCAGCTGAATGTCGCCGTTATATAGCAGTCGGCTGCTCGTAGACGAAAATGTAGAATAATCGAGTTGATCGTCCCGATCAGACACATGTTCCAAACTCAGCAAGCCTCTTAAGGTGGACCACTTTCATCTTGTTTCTTGGACTCCCAACGGTTTGGATCCGATATACTACGTCGTTTAGTCGTTTGATTATCTTGTATGGACCTTCCCAATTACATTGAAGTTTTGGGGACAAACCCCTCTTCCGTTGTGGATTGTACAGCAACACCAAATCTCCATTTTGGGAACCCTCGGAGCTCATCACCTTGTCATGCCTGGCCTTTATTTTGTCACTCATAATTTGAGTTCTCTGTCTCACAAGAGCATGTACCTCTCTTAGCTCTTCCTCGAGATCGGTAGACGTT